CGGCTACAGTGCACTGCTACCATATCTGGGAGGATTACAGGCAATCATTGCACCATATGCCAAAGAACTTCTGAAAGAGTGAGCTCTACCTGTGATCAAATTAGTCACTGTAAGAATATCCCTAATAACTTAAACTTAGATGTTGATAGAACCAAACAGCATCTCAAAAGAATTGTTCTATCCAGGAACATAACTCAGAATGTTAAGTATTAGAAATGCGAATTATTAGATCGGTCTCATGCATTTCTCCTGACAACAGGAGAATCTCCTGCAACATTATTTCCTAGTTCTTTTGTGTGCTTGTTATTTTTTTTAATATATCACATTAAATGGTAAAGAATATTGGGTAAACAGAATAAGAGATTTTTTTTTACCCCACTATAAGTCTTGTTCATGCCACATGGTCAATTTGCCTCACTGACATCCCTTTGATTTCCCACCTTTAATAGGAGAGATAGTAATACCTGTCTGCTCCTTAAGACATTTATGCTTATTACTTATCACTTACCAAAATCTTTCAAACTGAAAGAAGTGTCACAGAGGCAATATGAGACATAAATTTGTCTTTCCCGGTGTTTCTTACTTCCTTTTTGTGTTGAGAGCCAAGACTCGTTTCTGATAGCTATCATGTTCCACTCCTTCTCTCATCAATTATTTGAAGAAGTTACTGTCATCCAAGGCTATGTTTCTAATGATTTTTTTTTTAGCTGTGTAATTTAAAGAGTGCAAAATCATTCATTTTCATCTTATTCTGGAGATCACTAACTGTAATTATACATGGAAATAATGAAATGAAGAAAAACTAGATATACTCTAATCGACTTTCAGGGTGTAGCATAAGAAATCCAGGTCAGTTATGCTAATTTCAAACACTAAGTTCACCAGTGCTTCAGAAAAATAAAACTTGTACCAAGTTGTGAAGCAAAAGTTGGTTCACAACAAGGATTTCATTTTCCTCACAGAAATAGTGGAGCTTAATAAATAGACAATTTTTTCTCATATGACTATTTGATCAATCAAGAATTACTAGTAAAATATAAACACACCTTAAACCCAATCCCAAACCCAAAAGACACACCTCCCCAAAATCTTCAGACCTCCCAAACCAATTGAAAAAAACATATTACGAAATTTCATGTTATGCAAAGAGTTCAAGGAGATTGACCGTGGTTCTTTCAAAGGCTATAATAAATATTCTTTGAAGAAAAAGAATGCTAGTGAGAACAGATCCTTTCACACATGAGAAAAGTAAATTAAAGATTCAGAAATGGCTCTGACAGTAAGTTCCTTTTCAAGTATTTTCTCAGTGGAAAAGAAAGAGAAAGAAATGCTAGGAGCACTGAGGGAGAGTGGGATGAGGATCCTGTGAAACTGCAACAACTAATGAAGGACATATAGAGAAACACACTGTGGAAATGTGAACAAATAAAAAAAAACTAGACAACATGCATTCTACAGGACTTAAAAGAATTAGCTAAGCTCCTTTATATTCACTGTGCACAAGATATATAAATGAAAAATTAAAGCAGAGGGAAATATTAACATTACCACCTTAAACAACAGCAAGGGTACTCGTAAATCCAGTTTCTGTTCCTAATGGTCACTCTGTCTGCAGTGAGTCTTGGGTGCAGGGCCTTGAGCAAGGACAGAGGACTATCCTAGTGCAGATGAGCTTTAATAGGGGCATGATGTTGTATCTCACAGGATCTTAGCTGAAAAAGTAATTCACATTGGCTCAGCCATTTCCATATGGCTTTCAAGTTGCTGAGGTAATGAAATTACAGGAAATAAGCTGCAATGTAGCAAGGTGGTGGGAACTGTCTCCTGGCTGCCATGTGCATGACTATGAAAAGCCTGTTGGACTTCTTTTATTAATGATCTGGAAGAATGCACAGCACTTTGATGAAACTCACAGGTATGAATGTGAAAGACTGAAAGACAGTGTACAAAGAAAATAATAGAGAATTTCCCAGAAAAGATAGAACCATGGAAACAAAGTAACTAAAGGAGACTCAACTTGGAAAATTATACTGCCTGGGAATGCATCTGAGAAGGAGTAACAGGAAGTTGAAATCTCAGATGTAATAATGATGAAAGAGATGTAGGGAGATAGCTCAGGCTAAATGACATTACTTGGTTACGTGCTGTGGTGTGAAAAGGCCAGTACAATATGGGACAGGGTAAATAGTGTCACATCACTGAGAAAAGAACCAATACCACTTTCTGCATGCTGCTGGTACAGCTCCATCTGGAATATTATACCCATTTCTGGATATTGACAAATTTGAGAGTTCAGAGAAGAGCACCAAACATGATCCAAAGACTAAGAGGATTGATTTATGAGGAGACATTAGAAGAGTTAAAAATATAAATTGCTTGGCTAAGAAATGATTAATGGGGGACATGATAACAGCCTACTAATATTTGAAGAAGACCACCAGTGAAGGAAAGGCATTTTTCAGCAGTATTCTCAAGGAACGTCAGAGTTCAGAGAGCAACTGAGAAGCAAAAACATATACTGAGTATCAAGAAATGCTTACTGATCATGAATTATCATAATCTGAGGAATAATTTCCTCAGTAGGAGAAGAGTGTGGCTTTTTCCTGTGGCTTTCAAACACAAACTTGAAGAATTCCTTAAGAAACCTATGAACCCACAACTGCAAAAGTTTGAACTCCAACCTCTCTGATCCATTCCAGCTCAGCCAAACTGGGTGCATTCTACAATTTCCTCTTCCCCAAAATGATTTGGGCATATTTGTAAAGACGTTACATTCTGATTTGTGTTTCTTCCCATGCTGTTCACTACCCTGGCATTGATAAAACTAAAATAAACAATACCTGCTGTTAGAGAAGTACTTTTGTTATTTGAGGGCCAGTTAAAGTCTCAGCACCTGTCTTACCACTGCATGCAAATAACAAACCAGCAGCTGGACACCTACAGGGCCTTTCAGTGACTGGGTTTTTGATGAGCTACATTCACAGTAAATATTAGATGCAAGTGCTTCTTCCTTTCTTTTTCAGGTGAAAAAATAACAGTATAGCAAAGCCTGACTATCCCGGTTTGTCAGAAATCTTATGGTTGGCCAATAACACTGGAAAAACAGTATGAACCTGGCAAGGCATGGAGCTGGCACGGTAACTGGAATCCTTCTTCATCCAGCCACAGAGTTCTTCCCAGGGAGACACAACGCCATAACACGTGTCATGCAGCAGCAACAGAAGTTTTAAATCTTGAAGCTGCCTTAGCTAGATATATCTCCCAAAGTTAGATTAATTGTGTATCTTTCATCTTCAGCCATCTCTGAAAGGCCTTATCTTTATCTCTGCTTTCAGAGGTCCATAAATTTCTCTGTGTTCAAAGGCTTCATCCCTTCCCCCAGTCCCTCTCTGGTTCAGATATCCACAAACTCCAGCACAACTGGCAAATCTCTCTGTATTTAATCCTCTTAAATTATCTTCCCCTTCATACCTCCTTCCATGTCTTTCACCTATTTCCTTCCAATGCTTCACTACTAAGTTCATCCTTGCTGAATCCTTCTGCTGGAAACCTCCTTTCTATGAAAAACTTCCTCATTATGGAAACCAACATTGCTACTTTCTTTCCTGCTAAATATTTCCCTAGTACTGGAAACCTAAATTATTTAAAGAATAACCAAGGATAAAGAATTGACCAAGTCAGTTTTAAAACCATGAAGTTTGTTTGAAGTTTTTCACTTTTTCCATGGACATCTTTTCCCCCTCTCCAGAGGCAAAATTATCCATAAACTGTTGCCAATGGTTTTGCTTAAAGCATTCACTGAAGAACCTAGTGTGAAATATATTCAACTTTGACACTTGTTTTCTTTCTTAAATTCCTTTACTGCTAAGTAAAGGAATTTAAATCCCTAAAAAAAATTTATTTCATTTATAAGCAGGCAGCTATGTTTTCAATGTAATTTTTTTCATGTTTTTCTTCATCAGATATGACTGATTCAGGTAGATCAGTCCCTGTACACTAGGTTACCATAATTATGCACTATACCCATTTCAAAATTAGTTCCAGCTAGTTAGCTTCACTGCACGACAATTCACACTGACAATTGAGAATTTAACCTAGTTTGATGATGGATACACATAAACAACAAAATCCATAATTTATACACTGTAGAAAATAAACTCTCTGTCTGGCCAGGGACATGAAGCATATGAAGGGTCTTCATTTTAGACGGTTGGAAATTTTAAACTCAAGCAGCTTTTAATCAACATACCATTGAAAACAAATTTCAGCAGTTGCATTTCTTATTCAGCAGCAGTACAATGTAACTGAAAATAGAAGCTCCAAAAGCTTGATGGTCTATTACTCAACATGTGCTTATAATAAATTATACATAAATAGCAGTTATGGTGTACTAAGAAAAGCCAGAAAAGACAACCAGTTTCAATAAGCTGAAGGGGCTGAGAAAAGGGCCATTTCTGTCCTACTGTTCTGAAATAATTCTTATAATTCAAACACTCACATGTATCACTGGTTTCTATTATTATCAAGTTGCAGTAGCATCAAATCCCATAGTACTAAAATAGTTTTTAAAAAGCTAGCATCAGTTACCAGAACTAGACACTGTTATCCCTCACTCGCAGCATTGGCAGCAAGGCTGGAGCAGGCTCTGGGCCGAAGAGGAACTGCAGGAACTGTGCAGAGAGTGATGAGCACTCAGGGGTTCAGGGTGAGCAGCCCTGAGCCTGCAATCCCAGTAATTCCCCACCCGGTAATTCCAACTGAGGTGGGGGCTTATTCCCCATGAAACCAAGGGGTGTTAATTGGGCTTAAACAGCCATGGTTACACCAGTAAAAGGGAATTAAAAAGTATTCAGCCTGAAGCACTGGAGCAATGAGCATCTCCCCACACATGCAAATTTACTGAAATAGAGTGAATTTTCCCTGCAAATACAAGGAAGACAGGCTACCTATATTTCTGAGTTTGGTTTCCTATACTCTTAACAGCTTTCCTTTTACTCTAGGTGAAGATGGCTAATTATGAACCACACAGACAGTGAAGACTGCACACTTCACCAAGAGACCAAGATACAGGCTACAGTTTTTCACAAGGAGAAAGAAGATAACGCTTCTTCTTCATAAGAAGAAAATGTATAAAAATCAGTCATGGATTTAGCATGTGAAGCAATGGCCTCCATCAATCCCTCTCCTGCATCCCTGTGCTGTAGCTGTGGAACCTCATCCATTACTGCCATGCTGTGGGTCCACCTTAGTCCCTCAACTCAGGGTGCTGGTTGGAGGGAGCTGGATGCTGCAGAAAGCAAACATATCCTGGAGACCTGCCTATGAAACACAGGACCTAGCACAGGCTGAGAGATCAAACTGGTTCCCTTTGGACTGGGCATACTTCTGAGGGGAATGAATTTGGTACAGAGGACTAATTGAGTGAGTCACTGGTAAGACTTCAACGTTGTGAGTAGGAACAAAAATCTCAGTGGAACAGTACAATAATTATTTAAACTTTTTAAATTATAATTTGTAATGAAGAAAAAGAGAACCCTTCATCCAAAGGAAATTTTACAGCATTGATTGCTCTGACATGAGCAGCAGACAATAAGGGAGGTGCCAGCCCAGGAAAATGTGTGTGGAGCCATTGACACACATGGAAAGATAAAAACTAAAAAACCCAAGTGAACTCTCTGGCATAACTGTAGACAATATTGCAGCTGATGACAATAAAGCTCCCACACTAATACTTCAGTAGGAAAAGGTGCTAATAAAGAGCTTATTGAAAAGCACACAGAATCAAAGCTTGATCTGTATTTAGAACAACTGAGTTTCAGAGCATGCATGGAGCTGCCACCTGAGGACACTTTTTCCAACAGAAAACAGAAACCCAGACTAGCTGCATTATTAGACACTGGGGACTTGTAAAAATGGAGGCTGAGAAAGCAAAGCAAACTTCTCAGTCAAACTCAGCGCTGTCAAATCCATCCCATCCTGGAATGAGTGAGAGCCAGTACTAAACTTCATGGGGGCTCTGAGTTTCCTGGAAATTGCAGATGTTTATTTTTTACAGTAATTGCTATATAAGTGGTCCTTTAATTTTCTTCTATACATCCTCTTAATAGTCTCTGCAGACCCATCAGCCTTCACTGGTTATTATCCCTGACCTGATCCATTAGGTCGACTTGTATTACAGCAAGTAACACAAGTCTTTATTTTATATTACACAAATAGGATCAGGCAAATGCAAACATCAAATGTGCGGTGTTAGAAATATGCAACTGTAAACATATTTTTGTTGGGCAAAATATGCAAATACTTAAACAGATGAAGGAAAATAGCCCTCCTATCAAAGGTCTTAGGCTCTCAAAACCAGAGAATTCAAAAATTGTCACCAGGAGGAACAGAATTGCAAAAAGCACAGGAAAGAACCACGTGTTTGTCACATTGTCACGGCCCATCACCTACTGCACTTCAGAGCAGCAGATTGTGATGGGGAGAAAGTTTTTAGCAGGGCCTGTTGTAATGAACAACAAAGGTACAAAGGCTAATGGCTCGATTAGGCTCGATTAGATACAAGGAAGTTTTTATGATGAGGTGGTAAAGCACCGGAACAGGTTGGCCAGAGAGGTGGTGAACGTCCCATCTCTAGAAACATTCAGGCTGCTCACGCTGCTCTAGCGGAAAGTGCAGGGGAGTTGGGCTCGAGGGGCCAAGTTCCCTCACAAGCCGAGCGTTCAGCGCCCCGGTGATGACGGCCGCTGTGCGGTGGCGGTGCCGGTGGCGGTGGCGGTGCCGGTGCCGGTGCCGGTGCCGGTGCCGGTGCGGGCCCGCCGCCGCCAGCGCTGGCAGCCCCGCAGCGCTCACGGGCGGCCGCAGCCAGCGCGGCCGGGCCCCGCGGCGGGGCGCGCCCGTCACGTCCCCGCGGGCAGGCGAGCGCGGCGGGGCGCGCGGAGCGGCGGCGCTGAGGCGCCGCTGGGTGTCGCTGTTGGCGGGCGGCGGCGCGCGGGGCGCAGCGCGGTACAAAGCCGGGCGGCACGGGGCGGCCGCCGCCATCTTGCGCGGCCCCGCCCGGCCCCGCCGCTCCCTCAGGCGGGGTGCTGCCAGCGGGGCTCGCACCCCCCGGCGGGGCCCCGGCGCTGCCGCCCTCGGGCGGGCCCTGCTCGGTTGCCGCCAGGCCCGGCGGGGCAGCTCCTCGCAGAGAGGGCCCGGCCCGCGTGTCCGTCGCTCCTCGCTGAGCCACAAAGGAAAGCACCTCGCTGTCAGTCGGCGCTCGGGGGACGCTTGCGAGCAGCTGGGATAATTTGCTGGAAAATTTAATTTCGGGGCAAAGAGAAAATCAAATTGGGACAGAAAAGTGATAAGAATGCTGAACAAGGGTTTTGCAGCTGTAGAAAAGGCCGAGCACGCTGAGCCGCCTGACATTCAGGGAGGATGTGGGAGGTAGTGTAAAGCATGAATGGCCAGCACAGGTGTGATGGGTTGTATCCCTCTCTTAAATCTGGAGAGTTATGGGGAAGTCAGTGCTGCGGAAATGGACACTCATTCCTGGTCCCTTCCTAGGGACAGGTCATATTGAGGGACATTTTTGATCATGGAACTTATGCCTGCCTCCACTTTATCCCTGAATTTTGTCCCTGGAGATTGATTTAAGCCACGGTGTCCATGTACACGTTTGATGGCATCATCTGCTTCCAAATGGGAGATGTTTCCCATCCCCAGAGCAATCCCAAGCGACAGGGTAGCACTCCCTCACCAGGGACACTCCACTGAAAGGGGGACAAGGAGGGACAAGGACCCCAGCTGGGTCTGTCACGGCACCCCGTATCACACTGGGTGATCCCTCTCAGGAATATGCCAGGAGCCCTTCTGACCAGGGCCACCATTCAGCAACAGGCCCTCTTCAGATGGATCCCTCTGGCACCACCACTTGAAACCGCTCCTGTGTGCAGGATTAGTCTGAACACTTAATAAAAAAATGGAGAAGAATGCAAATTAGGAGATGAGACGCTTGTAATAGGAGTGATTTGTCATGACAACTGTGTGCAGAGGTAAAAGATGCTCAATGCCTTAGGCAAGTAAAGGGCCCAGTACTACTCTGACGCAAGCTGTTGATTTTGAAAGGCAGACTCAATGAAAAAAAGCACAAAATCAAGCTTTTAGGCTGTTACAGGAAAAATATTCAATCTGAATGAGAGTATGTGAAAGAGTAAGATACTGCCTTTTTCTGAAATTCTGTGATTTTGTGAAAATTGCTGAACACCCACAGCAAATCCACATACTTCAGCTCAAGCAGCATTTTGAGGCGGGTTCCCACCACTGCTGTGTAGGATTTTTTTTCTCTAGGAATGCTACTGCCATTAAAGAGCAGAGATGGGAGAGATCCTTGGATTCAACACTTTCCTCCTTCCAGAACTAAGGTGGAGAAGAGCAAGATGCAGTCCTTCATTCATGCCCTGGTAGATCATTACACAGCCACAGCTGTCACCAGCCAAGCCCTGCAGGACTGCTGGTCTGTGATGCCTTAGCATGTTGTAAAAGGAACTACTGGCAGTTTGTTACTACAACATAAAAAGAATGTGTTCCTTTTGTACCCATCTCCTTTCCTCCCTCGTCTATGAACTTTCCTAAAGAGCTGATTATGGCACTTGCCTGAATTTACAGGGAGCAGTATCTTGTATCTTTCTAATAAAACAAGGGATTTCAAGAGCTCTGCAAATCCCCTTTGGGCTGAGGGGACCTTTGGAACACTTCTCATCACAGCAAAGAGCTGTGTAAATTCAGCTTTAAAAATGTTTCTGTTCAAATGACAAGCCTGCATACATCAGTGGTGGCAGCACTGATGCAAGAAGCTCTGGCAGTGCTTCTTGAGAAGCAGCAGCAGGGACACTTTGGGAGCCAGTTGTGTTTTGTGTGGTTTTTCCATCTTGAACACACACCAAGGCACACAGACTCAGTCCAGTCTACCCTGGCAGCAGATTGCCGACAAGTATGAAACAATCATTTCTTAACACAGGCTTAAATCATTTTCATGGCCCTGCAAAGCAAAGTGCAAAGCCTGCACTTCTCATCCAAAGTTGAGAATTTGCCAGTTCCAGATAGAATTTAGCTGGAATATCCACAACTCAAAAAATTCTATAGAAAGCAAGTACTGTTAAGCTGAAGTTGGTGGCCCTCAGCCTGGTAACCTTGGGCATCTAGACTGAGTGTCTTTGCTGCTTAACATGAATCAGAAAGCACAGACAGCCAGAACAGGTCTTGGGAAAGACATCAAACGAACACCAGAAGGGATTAATGAATACAAGGTTTTTCTTTCTTTTTTTATGTTTTGGTTAATCTCTCACATTTAAAAGCTCTACTAATTTCCTTGATTTTAGGAATTAGCAATCCCATGTTTTATAAACATTCTAAATCCTGCTATAGGAAAGGTGTTGGGTCCTAAAACCTGCTGTGTGCAGTTTGTGTCACAGCCTGCCATCAATTAAGACATAAAGAACAAAAGAGATCTTTCTGCTGCTGCAAAGGCGGACATATTGAAGCCAATCCCCATCCCCAAGAACATGTGTTTCTCTTCTAGACAGATGAGATTGGAGTTCATCAGGAAGTTGTTTTCTTTCTTACAAGTATTATTCCCAACCTTTTTTGTGAATTTAGCTATCGAATAAATAAAACATGAACAGCAGCATTGTGAGGTGTGTCCATCCCAAAGGAAAAAGCCCCACAGCTCTGGCAGGGATGCTCTCTGCTACCCACACAGCCAGTAGGATGTACTGGTGATAGCAGTCTGCTTGGTGGAAAGTCTCTGTTAGAGCTGCCCACCTTTTTTATGTGGGTGACCATCAGATGATCACATCAGTCTTTTTGGACTGCTGAACTGAATTTGAACAGGGAAATGAGATTTCTGTGCTTGTCTACCAGCAGTTGTAGTAATTGTCCTAGGCACAGTTGTTCTAAATAAAATCACAGATGTTGAAGTCTCCCTCCGTTTTGCTGCTGGTGGCAGAACACAGCTCACTGCAGCTGATTTTCTGGTGCTTTCAAGCTGGTTTTGAGGGCCATATAAAAATAAGTTGTTTGCTTAACCCCAGGTAAGCACACAAGAAGAAAGTCGCACAAATGGTGAAGATCCTCAATACAGCCCTTTTAATGTAGCAGAATGGAGTTGTAAAAGTCTCAGTTCTGCAGCAAAAGGATTCCTTTGATGTAGAGAATGCGGAGTACGCTTTGTAGAGACTTTGCAAATTCCAGTGCATGGTATGTGTGCTGACAAGCAGGGGCTCTAGATGGAGGGGCTGTGGGGTGAGTCCAAGCAGTGGCCTGGCCCCTGCAATGACTCGGGGAGTGGGGGCTTGAGCATCTTAGACAGTCCTCTACATGACTTCAGTGGCTCGCAGACTTACCAGAGGCTTCAAAATAACTCAAACTGTGGTCACCAGGGAAATTTCCCAAGCTACTTTACACCAAATTTTCCAATTCCTTTCCGTTAATTTCTTAACGGTGGCAAAGCTCTTGGCATCACCTATATTCCTGAAGCAATTGCAGTTCATTCATACAGAAACCCTTACAGGATTAAGGAGGCTTCAAATCAGCTTGTGTTGCTTGCTTTTTTTTTTTTTTTTTTTTCTATATTATTCCATTTGTATCCCAGCTATTCTGGGATATTTACAATTGTTTTCATCCTTGGTTCCCGTCTGCTAACTTTGTGTTTCAAGTGAGTGAGAAGGAATTGTATATGTTGTTATGAATAAAAGATTTTTTTTTCAAAATTTAGAGTGTGACATACCCTTTT